CCCGCTTTAAAATATTTCTCTCGCGGCCCCCAGCCCCTCGTTGTGGGAAGCTAATCTCTCTTCTCCCCCCGCCCCCCCATCATTGCATGCTCTGGAGAGTGCCTAGACGTCGCCCCGAGGCGCTGGCTCTGCTTAAGATTCCGCTCAGGTCCCTGGGGCTGGGCTGGGCTGGAAAATGCTTACGCAGCACATCGCGCTCGGCAGGCGAGTCCTTTCTCGGCTGCCTCCTTTGCGACGTAAACAAACCCCACTCGCTGCAGCGCTCGGCGTTGGCGGACAGGGGGAGCCAAGAGCCCGGGCTGGGCGGCGCCCGTGCGGGCAGCCCGGCAGGGCGGGTCCCTTGTACGCGGAGCGATTGTTTTTCGACGGGTCCGGATTCTGATGGGTGTGTCTCTTTCAGACGAAAAAAGTTTGGCTCCGGCGCTCCCCTCCCCCACCCAAGCCCGGCTAATTTTTCTGCTCTTTCTGTGGGTCTAACGATCCTTAGATTTCTTCGCCAAGCGGAAAAGAGTCGTAGACAGAGCGGCCGGGGATCCCACCAGCCCGTTGGCAGCTTCGGTCACGGCTGTGCCTAATGAGCAGACGCCCCGGAAAAGGCTCCGATGAACGAGGTGAGCGCGCGTGCTGGCGCTGTGAGGTTCCTCCTCCCCCCCCTCCTGGGACGCTCGCAAGGTCTCTTTTCCCCGAAGGAGGGAGAGCAGTTGTGGGCGGGGAGGCTCAGTTTCATCGGCATGAGTACGAAACTCGGAGGATGGCGAGAGAGTAGCGAAGGACAGTTCGATTAGCATAAGAGCGTCAGAAGTGTGAGTGGGGGCGGGCCTGCTAGATTTGATGGAGGAGCGAAGGGAAGAACCCCTTGCAGGATAGGAAGAGGATGGAAATAACCCCACCTTAAAAAAACGCTAGCAGAGACTTGCAAGAGAAGCTTCATAATTGGGCAGTTAGATACAGGCTTGGTTTCCCCTCCCCCCCCATCCTTCCTGCAGTGTAGATCTGGAGTGACATTTTGTGAACTGGGTGTGCAAAAAGCGAGGCTGTTCCTCCCCCTCCAGACTCCACAGTTGTGCTGACTCATTTGTGGATTTTTTGGGGAAGGGTGGGCTGGCCTTGGTGTTTGCCTGTTCCCCAGAGCTGCAGTGTCTGGAACAATTTTCTGCACACGCTGACTAGTGGTGATCTTCTCTTTCAGATTTTGCACTATATAACACCGAAGTGATTGTTTCCTTGGAAACACAAGAGCTTGAGAGGCCCTTCCTCTCTGCGTGTCAAAGGGGCTGGCGAGTGAGACCAGACCAGCGTAAGGAAGAAGAGTGGCCTGTTTGTTTTTCGCTCCTCCTCTTCTACTTGTGCCCTGAAGGAACTGCTTGTACCTCCATGTAGCAAAAGTGGCTGACTACAAGTCGCCTGACGGAGCAGTGTTAATTTACAACTGTGCAATGTATTATGTTTTATATCTATTAAAAAAATGTATTATGCCTAATGTGAGTACACTGGCCAGAAGTGTAAAAGCTTTAAAGTCACCTATATAAATGTTTAATCTCTGCTGAATTCTCAGTGCAAAAAAAAAAACCCCACAAAAAAAAGTATAATTTGTAAAAAAAAAAAATGCAAACAATTTAAGAGTTATACTAACTTATATTTTCTATTTATGTCAAAAGGTGGATAACTCTGGTTGACACCTAGTAGTCTGTTCTGAGTTTTTGTGTTTTTTTTCCTATTTGGTTAAGCCAAAGGGCACTATATATTTGCTTTTGTTATTTACAAAAATGTAAATTTATTTTTATAGTGGGATTTTGCATTCACAAAATGTAGCTATGAATCAAAATTACTTTTAGTTATACTTGAAAGAAATCTGATAATATTGGTTCCTGAGCTGGTCTGTACCACTGCCATCCCAAATCTATGCTACAATGTTAAAATAAAAAGGAATCAAGTGTCAGTTAACCTTCTTGGTATTTCTTGCTTTTACTTCCAGTTTTAAGTAGAACAGTGTATAAATGCATATGCAGCCTTGTTTTCTTCTACTTTTTCAAAATTTCCCCTAAATGCAGCTAATAATGTACAGTAGTTGTCATCTAGCGACCACAATTGGAACTGGCAACTTGATTGTTAAATGAAGCGGTTGCTAAGTGAAACTACAACTGTGCTTACGACCTTGCTTCAGCTTTCCTTTGCTTTGCAGACCTGTGAAGGTTGTAAATGTGAGGATTGCTTGTGAATTTACTTTTTCGTCACCATAACTGCAAACGGTTGCTGAGCAAGGCAGTCACTAAATGAGGACTACCCGTATAAGTCACTTGTTTTTTAAGTTAGTCTTTCCCCATGTACGTCCTTTCAAAAGTAGTAGCCTTCAATTACATTCCCGGGCAGCTTGTCTATTAGCCATACTGAGCTTTACATAATGGCAAGATTATGTACCCCGCACACTTGGGTAAAATCCAGTTGCATTTCCCATTGATGGAATAGTGTCTGGCAGTGAGGTAGATTCTCAGATCTGTTCAGGACTGGGGAACTGTCTGTAAAAGAAGGGGGGGTGGGAACGTGTAAAGGAAGAGAAGATGAAGGAGAAATCTGGTGTGTTCAATGTATATAGTCCTTTGGTAGAAAACTTCAAGAGTGTAATACTCAGATTACATGGAAATGATTTTCACAGATAGGTATAGTAAGTGAATACTGAACACCTATGCAGCTGCACCATATACCATTCTCAGAGGGGAAGTGTGTAATATTAGAAATGGTGTTAAATCTTTTAACATTCATTTCTTTACTACCATCTTTTACCAAGAGCTGTGTAATATTCTCCCACGCTTACTTCATGCAGTTGACAAAAGTGAACTGTGATCCACAAAAACTTAAAATAATATATTATTAATCTTTAAGGTACTGTAATATTTGTTGTCATTTAAAGACTGAAGCATCCTTAAGATTTAAATATTTCCAAATAAGTTAAATTCCATTAACATTTGGTTAGATACCTTCTGTGTTCAGGTAAATCTGTCTATGGTTATTCAACGATCTGGGTTAAATTAGGTAAAAGTTAGTAGGACAGTGTAACGGGCCATAAAGTGCATTGTTGTATCTGCCTACCTGTTCGCACAAGATACGAGTCTCTACTGTTAAGATATACACCAGTATTGACCAGTATCAAGGGAAGTTTCTCTTGGCATCCATCAAGTACTAGTTAGTATTGAAGGACTGTTAAGAGCATAGCTGCAGAAAGTAGTTAAAAAGTAGGCAATCTCTTGGTAGTCCCTTGGTCTCATTTGCATGTAATTGATTTCGGTAACACCAACTTCTAGCTCTGAGTATTTGCAGTTTGATGTATAAAGCTTCATGGGGTTAATTTTGTTAAGCTGCCAAAGGCACAGCATGACTGCAGCTATCCCATTTCTTTGAGGAACAGCTGAAAGATAAAATGAAAGCCATGGTCCTGCGCTGAAAGGGTCTATTCATTGTTTTATCTCTTCCTCATCTTGAAAAGGTAGATGGCTGTGTATGCCTACAAATGCCACCTCTTTCAACAGAAGGCCCACCTTAAAGAAGGAAAAAAGATAGGATACTTTTCTAAGAATATTTGTGGTTCATGCCTTTGTGTGGTACTTAATAGAATCTGTCTGCTGGAAAAATAGTCCCTGATGCCAAAATAAACTCTCCTGTCCTGTAGCCTGTGCCTAGAACCATCAGATCTAGGCTGCAAAAATCTGGACAGTCACCAGATGGTAGCAAAGAAGTAGAAAACTCTTTGCTGATGTTTAGTGGCCTGGATGTTGTAACCCTACATATACCCCCAAATGTCCAAGAAATTAGGGAGTGGTTCAGACCTAATTTAGGGGTATTCAGGAGATGCAGCGGGAGGAAAGGAAGAAGGAAGCTGCATTGTGCAAATGGAAATCATTTAAGTGGCATTAGATACTGGCCTTTAAACACAAATATACGCACACAAATAGGAGATAAGTCTGAAGAAAATAGTTCATTGTGTAATTACCTTGCCTTGTTTATGGAGAATTCTCATAAAATCACCTACTTGCAACTCTCTAATATAACTAAAATAATGGTTTCATGCATTGTGGTAGGCCATCATTTGCTTAACCATGGTATAGCTGGCTGGATTTTCTAAACACACTAGAATGTGAACTATGATTTATCAATCACAGTGTTTGGGTTTGCACAACAAGCTACCATAATTCAAAAGCTCATTTTATTTGAGCACAATCTATGAACCCCAAAATGGGTGGAACCAAACTTAGTATTCCACTGGTAGGAACATTTTTGAGTTGAGATCCATTCCAAATGTTTCCACTACTAGAAACAAAGTCTGCCATCCTTCAGACTAGATTTATGAGAAGTAGAGGGAATTTCAGGGAAAAGGAGAAATCAGGAATTGTAGCTGTTCTGTTCAGCCAGTGGAAAAGGTTTCACTGATGGAAAGATCCATTCCACCCATAGCAGGCTTTTGCTGGATTCACCTTAATGTATTTGTTCACATAACATTCTTTCTTATGGTCAACTTAGCCACAGTTTTCATGACCTATGGTTCAGATTCACATGACACACTGAACTATAAATGAATTATATAGTCTGGGTGTGCACAATACTAGCCTTAGCCCATTTCAATCCAATTATCATACTTGAAACACACCCACTGAAATAAACAAGTCCTTTAAGTCTGGATCCAGTCTAATATTCGTGTAACAAACACATGTTTTCACTTTGAATGTATCATAGGAGTTCACAGACCAAAGAGCTATAACTGGCTATATATTGCTCTTCATTTATAATCCCAAAATATGTATTTGTCTGCTACATAAATGGGCAGTAGCCATATTATTATATTCTTTATTTCCAAGTTTAGGATTTTGGGGTAAGGGAAGAAAAACTCATGTGTTTCATGTGGCACAATGAACTCTGAATATTTTGCTATTGGCCTCAGTGAATGATAGTTTGTTTTATGTGTGAGGTAGTCCATCTCTTGCTTGACAGGGTTAGTGTAGCATGTGAACTCAAAAATCAGGGTAGTATTGAAATTGGAAAGAATTAATTTTAACTCAAATCAGGTATGTTTGAATTAAATTAACCTCCCCAATCACCTGTCTTATCCAAGAGAGGATCAACCTAATGTTTTCTTTCAGCTATCAGAATTAAAGCAGAAAGCCTAGCATGCTTTAGAGCTCCACTTCTTTTACATTTTATTTTCACTGCACTGTGTGGGTAGACAGGTAGATCAAGGGGCAGAAACAGGCTGGGAGGAAGTAAGTCCATGACAGGTGTGATCTACATCTGGCTATCACAGATGTTTTTAAAAAACAGCTTTTTAAAAAGATAGCAAGTTAGTCTCAGCAAAGGAGGCTGATACACAAGCCCAGATGTTCTAACTGTGGTAACATTAAGCCTGTCTGATGATCTGCTGCTGCTTCACCAGATCAGTTATTTTCTAGAGTAGTAGCAGACTTGGTTAGCCATGTTGTGTGAATGCAATTACTGTATTCTTCATATATAAAACAGTCACTGTTTATTATGCATGGGAAAAGTGCCAGGAAAATAACCAAGTTGGATGTGCCAAATGAACCAAGTCTTGGAATATTAAAGATGAAACAGTTATCTTAGGGTATAAGTGTCCATGGATTCTAGAGCCCACTGTATCAGATGAAAAGCAGAGTACAAGATTTTAAGGACGAGTGACTCATCACATATATACATTATTTGAAAGAGAATATAATTTGTTTTGCTCATAATACTTTATTTGTTGCCTCCAATTTCATCAGCCTGCATTGTGTACAAGAATTTGTGATAAAAACTCCTTTGATTCTTGGTAACTAGACACACATATATATTGTTTTTAGTGACATCAATACATAAGTGGTTTGCTATTACCTTCTACCAAGGTGTTTTTTCAACTTTCCAGTTTAGTCCACAATCCTGGGATTTCTTAGTGGTCTTCCATCCAAATACTAATGAGCTCCAACCCTGCTTATTTTTTTTGCAAGATCAGCCAAGGTCATCTAGTTGCTGTCCCCTGCTGTGACTTGGTATTAGGTGATTAACCTATGATAGCTGTCCAATTGCATTGATGCATTCAGATAGCCTTTAATCTGTACCACAATAGCAGAGACCCATGTGAGCTTGTCACAATAGTTTATATATTTAATAAATAAATAAATATTCACAAAATGTAGTATCAGTTTTTCATACCCTAGCTAATAGCTTCCAAATAATTACCTCATTTATGTCACTGTGATTATCAAAATCTTGGTGCCTAAGTTGTTCTTTCAGTACCACAATATGCACAAATTGAAGCCAATGGTTTTAAAATACTTTCTGAAAGAAATATCAATAAAACAAATGTATCTTATTGTGGAGTGATACTTCCAAATAAAAATCTGTAGAATTTTATTTCCATATGTATGCAACGCTTCCAATGAATGGCACTTGGTGTTCAAATGCAGGTGTAAAATCATATACTGTACTCTAAGAAAACAATGCCATCAAAGTCAAAGACGTTTAAGTCTTAATA